AGCACTACAATACTGTAACCTCACAAATATTTTCATAGTAAATGCTGATAACAATGGGTTATTGGGTATGAAATATTGCAATTTAGTGATAAAAACACATGATAATAAACGTACATTTAACCATCCGATTATATTAGCTATTTTAATGGCATAAATGTTTTAAATTAATCATAAGTGCCTATTATTGATAGGAATTAGTTACTATTTTATAACAAAGTTTTATGCTTGCTTTGCTTAAAACATTAAATGTACCTGTGCCTTCACTTTGAACCCTTAAACACACTATAATATAAATAATTATAAATCCCTTTTAAAAATACACTTTATTTCTAGCACTTTATGTTAATAATTGAAATATAAATTCAGTGCAATTAGGTTATCAACCATTAGCTAATACCCAATAACCCCAAAGGCGTAAACTTAGAAACAGTTAGCTAACTGTCGATAGTTTTTCTAATTAACCAATTGTATAATTCAAGGGCCGCCCAATACCAGCCCTCATTCTCCCATTTACTAAGTGGATATAAGTACTGCTCGCAAACTAGTACCAAGTTCAATTTATTGTTTGAATTGTTTGCCGTATAATATCAGTGATAATTCATTGACGAGACATCAGTTTTGAAATACTGTCTCAATGAATGTCTCTCTGTCTACAAGTTATGCAAATATTAGTTATCCAATGATATTCAGTGACTTATAACTGTTAATTCAATTTAAATACAAAAAATAACTGAAAAATAATAATTCAATTCATTAATAAATCACAAGAAAGAAAAATGTCAAAAATTGGTTTTAATTTATTCCTACTTCTGTTAATACAAGTAAATATTGACTTTCTTATTGCATATTGTATTTTAAATTACTATTAATTGAATTAATAAATTGTGGCATAAATAGTGCCGATTAGTGGCCAACCAATGTATATATCGGGGAAAATGCGGTGAATTAATCTCGAAGAACGAACAAACCAAAGGCCAGATATTCCCCATACCCTGTGTAGTGGACGCACAGCCGCAACCACTCAATCAAACCAACGTGGATGAGCTGAAAAAGATTGTACCTGAACTATTCACTGGTAAGACTAACTTATAATTAAAATATTATATTATATAAATATTACAGCATATAAATTACCAATATATAATTATTGAAGTAGATCCTAAGAACATCATTCAAAGCTCTAATATTATTGTCTAATTCTATTGTAATTTATAATTTGTAAATTTGTTTTGAGGTTTTATGTCACTACTTGTTGCAGAGTAGGCTACTGTATAGTGTACTCTAAAGTGCAGTACTGTGCTGTATACTGTATTTAATACAATGTATTATCTTACGTAGAAATGTTTTAACAACTATTTTAACAACCATGTTCTTCCCCGCCCTATCTTCCCTGTACCCGTTGAAAGATCCAAACCCGGTATTTTGCTGCGACGACGACCAGGCGTACGCGATGTTGCATGATCAAATAGCGAAAGCCGAGTTCATCTCCCGGTGCCCGTCGTGTTACGTAAACTTTGCCAAAACCCTAATACACATGTCGTGCAGTCCCCGTCACCGCGAGTTTCTCAAAGTGACCAAAAGCGAAAAGCTTAAGGATTCGGACAAATACATGCTCAAAGAGTTGTCCTATTATATGACCAATCGGTACGCGAACTCGTTTTACAACTCGTGCTCATCGGTGGCGTTCCCCTCCGGCTCGTCCACTGTCATGAAACTTCTGTGCGGGACATACGGTGCCGAACACTGTTCGGCGGCCAGACTTCTGGAGACAATGGGACACTTTGATCCGTCGCCGATGCAAATCAACTTCAAGCTCACGGACGCCGCCATCGATGACCGAAAACCAATGGACGATACGACCTATTCGTGCGCTGAGGCTCCCAAAGCCTACTCTACAATGGCGTGCAGTTGCGGCGACTGTCCCGTCATATGTCCGGTCGGCGGGCAGTTGGCTTACGCCGAGCCCGACTCCGTGTGGCAGGTGTGGGGCGTCAATGGTATGTGGGTTTGTATGGCTTTTGTCTATTTGGTCCTATTTATGGTGATTGTCATTGGATTCGTGATTTGCTATCGGCGTAAAAGAGCTCGCGGTAAGTGTGACCACAATTTTATATCATTTTACTTAAGTTTTATTAGCTTTTAAATTATTGTAATTAATTATAGGCCACAAGTCTAGCGAAGACAACACATCCAATGCGCAGAAAACATCGAGTTTTGGTCAGAATGTACACGAATTTGGCCTACAATTTGACGATACGATACGTGAGTGGTTCGGCCGTTACGGGCGCTTCTGTTCGCGTCGGCCGTGGAATGTGATCCTTCCGCTCGTTGGCGTCGCGGCTGCCGTCGGCCTATCGGTGGGAATACTGACCAGTTTTGTGGCGATGATAGATCCGGTGCAGCTCTGGTCGGCGCCCACCAGTCGGGCCCGAAGCGAGAAAGACTTCTTCGACAACAGTTTCGGACCATTCTATAGGACGGCTCAGATTATCATTTGGCCCAACAATAAGACCACGTTTGAACACTTTTACCTCGAAGACGAAACAACAAACAGCACCAAAACCATTGGTCCGGTGTTTGAAAAGCAATTTTTGCTACAAGTGCTGGAACTGCAGTCAAAAGTGCTAAATCTGACCGCTAATGTGGCCGACAAAGAGGTTGTGTTGAGTGATATCTGTTTCGATCCGATGAAGAATAAGAAGTGCGCGACTCAGACACCGTTGGGTTGGTTCCAGAATGACATCAATATATTAAATAAGACACGTATTGACGAAGACCTAAATAATCATGAGTACAATTACCTTGATCACTTCATCTCATGCACGGCAAACCCCACGAGTCAATACGATAATTACATTGAGACGACGTGTGCCGGCACTTTTGGCGGACCCATGTTTCCCAACGTAGCGCTCGGCGATACCGATGAGGACATGCCAGAGCCCGACCGCTTTATGACCGCCCGCTCTCTCGTCATTACGATATTAATTAACAATAATGTCGACGACGACAATAAGACCGATGCCATGGCCTGGGAAAAGGTGTTTCTCGATTATATGCATAGTTATAGTAATCCTAACTTTACGTTTGTCTTCTTCGCAGAGGTTTGTGTTGTTTTTTGTGGAAAACATTTAATGACTTATTAAAATTTGTGATTTATTTTGTTATGTAATTAGCGTTCACTTCAGGACGAGATTGACAGACTTAGTAAATCAAGTATCGGTACGCTTGCCATCAGTTATATTGTTATGTTTATCTATATATCTATAACTTTGGGTCGTTTCACATCAATGAAGAGATTATTTGTATGTTTTTAATTTTAAAAAACTTATTTTACAATTAATTTTCAATCACTTTTTAATTATAATTTTCAGATCGACTCAAAGATATTATTGGGTTTAAGTGGTGTCGCAATAGTGTTACTATCGGTCACCGCATCCATAGGTTTATTGAGTTTATGTGGCGTTAAGTCAACGCTTATTATCGTCGAAGTCATACC